TGGTTGTGAGGGTTTAGTCAGTTTCCACATTCACTCATCTGACCCTCATAATTGACCCTGGAGAAGTGGGACTTGCCCAGGAAGTGGGGCAGGATCCTCGGGGCCAGTCCAAGAGGGAGCCAGAGGGCTCACATGTTCTGTTCTGCTTCTGCCCCTTGAGGTGGTGTAGACCTCAGAGGACCCTAAGAGCCATCAGTGGTCTCATCTTCTGGAAGCTTATGGGGCCGCTTACCCCAACTGAAGGTCCTGTCTGATGAGCAGCAAACAGCTCACCGTGGTGCGGTGCGGGGACTCCCTGCCCACAGCCTGGAGTGGATTTTCCCATGCCTGGGGCGATGAGGCCCCTTTCCTGGAGTGAAGACGAACTTGGGTTCAGTGGAGGACGCTTTGTTCCTGTGCTTGCTGGCTAGACACAGACCTAGGTTTCAGCCCCGCTTCCCCACAAGTTGTCAAGTCCTTCAGGCGGTCTACAGGGCATTCGCCTCCTTGCACGCGTGGGGCACCGCCACCTTGCAGAGCCACGAGCGGGCTGACCGGCGGGAGTGTACACTGGCCACGCTGTGCTGGGTGTGCCCTCGTGCCGTGGACGCGCGATGGAGGGAGGACAGGTGGCCGGGGGATCGTGGGTAGGTGGGTGGGTGATGGGTGGAAGGAAGCATCAAAGGGGAGTCTAGTGGAAGGTCTTGAATGCCAGGCAGGACCTCCTGACTTTGCGGGAGCCAGAGGCAGGCACTGAGGGGTTGGGGGGGTGATGGTCAGAGTTGCATTTCAGAGAATCAAGGGTGGGTGAGTGAGGGGAGCAGTGGGGCACGGAGGAGGCCGTCATGCTGGATCCAGTGACAGCAGCACGGGGTCTGGACTGGAGGGTGGAGCTGGGAAGACGAGGCTCTTGTCTCAACCCGCAGGGAGAGAAACGGTGTGGGTGGCGAGTTGGGGTGCCAAGACACTGGGTCTGGGTGAAAGGAGACTGATGTCATTAGCAGCAGTAGAGGAATCAGGATAGAGGTAATAAGTGTTGGGAGAAAAATGCATTAGGCTTTATTCAGACAGCTTCTGAGGTGCCAACAGAACAGGACAAATAGCCCTGCAGAAGCAGTGGGTGGCACGGGAGCCGGACCCCTGGGGGCCCCACTAAGCCTGTGGTGCAGAGGGGGGGTTCCTGGGTAGGGTGCATTTGTCCGACCTGGCTGCCCTCACAGTGCACCAGTCTGGTAGCCAGAGGTGAGGGTGTCGGCAGGTGAATCGCCGACAAGGGAAGTGGTTGCTCTGCGCCCCGTATTTATGCCTCCTGAAGTCTGCTACCCCGAAGCTTTGCAGTGGCTGCTGGTTTTTGCACCTGAGGTCCTGATTGAGGTTCTGTCTGCTCTCTGGACTGTGGCCTGTTTCTCTGTGCCACACTGAGATTTTCTTTGTGAGTTTATTAGTTATTTTAAAGATTTCTTTATTATTTGTGCATACAGAACTGGGGCACAGGCCAGAGGTGCAGGGGTGGTCCGAGGACTCACCAGAGACAGAGTGGGGAACAGAACAGGCAGATTGAGGAAGTGCAGTGCTGAGGGGAGCAGCGGGGAGACAGGAGAGGGCTGCCGCGCCCTGTGGGTCAGCTCCCTGGCGGGGACCAACTCACGCTGAAGTGGCTGTGGCCAGCTTGCAGTGCTGTTTACTAACCTGTTGAGCCACCAGGGAGGGCCCTCTTTTTGAGTTTAAACCAATAAATCAAAAGAATTTAGAGTTGTTTAATTCACTTAGCTGTGAGTTGACTGGCTTGGCTAATCCCCACAATTACACGCAGCCCAGCTCGTTGCGTTTTATGTTTTGTAGTTACTCCCAACAAAAGGCTTCTGACTTCATTTAAATTCTATTCAAATTATTTCTTGGAGGCCGCCTTTTCCAGCACCCATCCTCTTGAGAACCTGGGGCCGCTGAAGGGCATCTGGTGTTAGGCCCCAGCCCTGGTATGGCGGGAGAGATTCTTTCCCTATAAACAGACTGTGTTTTAGCTACGAGAAGTGAACTGTTTATAGGTACAGCTTTTTATTTTAAAAAATATTTATTGATGCATACAAGAGCTGGGGTGTAGGCCAGAGGTGCAGGGGTTGAGAAGATTCACCAGATACACTGGGGAGCAGAACAGGCAGATCTACTGAATACACTGCTGAGGGGAGCAGTGGGGAGATAGGAGAGGTCTGCCGGGCCCTCTGGGTCACTCCCTGCCTGGGGACTGAACTCCGTGGTGCGGTGCGGGGACTCCCTGCCCACAGCCTGGAGTGGATTTTCCCATGCCTGGGGCGATGAGGCCCCTTTCCTGGAGTGAAGACGAACTTGGGTTCAGTGGAGGAAAATCTGTGAGCATTTTGCTCTCTAGTGGCCAGGGGGTCACAGGGGTGTTAATACTATCAACTGGACAGATGGTGCTATGAGCCAAATTAGGTTAAAAAACTTAAAAGTGAGCACCTACTAGGTGCTGACACAGGATTAACAATGAGTGACGTGGCGGTTACGAGGTCACCACAACGCAAATCCTTGTAACTGGGACCACGTTCTGAGTGTGTCAGGACCCAGGGCTTTCGACTCCAGACCCGGGAGATGAACGGGTTTGCGTTGCTCCCGATGAAATGGTGAAATGATGTGCTGCAGGCCGTAGTGCTAGTGACAGGCAGATTTTAAAAAAAGCAAGAAAGCGCGCCAGTGCAATTCAGTGGGAGTCATTTGCTAATTGCAAAAATGGCACAGAGTTCTCCCAGCTTCCACCTGCGTTACCACTTTACACGACCTTGAATTTCCCAAAATCCCAATAACAGGAGGGCAGTACTTTGCACTCCACTCAGATTACCCTGGTTTTTCCACTGAAGTCCTTTTTGTGTTCTAGGGCCCGGCCAGGACCCCACTTTGTGTTGAGACTCATTTTTAAGTCTGGATTCTCCTGTACAGCAGGTCCCTGAATAACGTCATGTCCTCATGATTTTGATGAGGGGGAAACAGCCGATTCCCATTTGGGCCACCGTGTGTGGGGGTTTGGCACATTCTTACCATGTCTGTGTGGGGTTTTGAGCCCCACAGTGATAATGTTGAGACCTGTGTTGGGGGTCCCTAGAACTCAGTGACACTCAGCTGTTGTACAGAAGGCGAACCAGAGCCCCTCCAGGAGGACGCACTGAAGAGCCAGCTGCTCGCCTGTGAGCTTGATGAACTCGGGCCTGCACCCCTCCTTCCCCGCCCCCCGAAAGTGGCCAAGTTCCGAACAGTCTCAGCCAGTCTATCTGGACACCAGAGGCCTTCGGGGTTGGCCAGAACCACTTGCATTTGAGTCTCATTTTACGCACTGTGCCCACAGCACGCTTTGTTCCTGTGCTTGCTGGCTAGACACAGACCTAGGTTTCAGCCCCGCTTCCCCACAAGTTGTCAAGTCCTTCAGGCGGTCTACAGGGCA